CAGGTTGATCTCAAACTCCTGGGCTCAAGTAATCCATCTGCCTCGGCCTCCCAAAGTGCTGGGACTACAAGTGTGAAACACTGTGCTCAGCTGGTTTTCAGTAATTTTTTAGTATAAGGGGGTCCTGAGACCAAAAAGTTTCTGAAGCACTGGTCTAGAAAAAAATATAACTGAAGTGAGCCTAGACAAGTCTGAAGCTATAATAATAATAGTAATAATTATTATTATTTTTTAGATGGAGTCTCGCTGTTGCCCAGGCTGGAGTGCATTGGTGCCATCTCAGTTCACTGCAACCTCCGCCTCCCTGGTTCAAGCAATTCTCTGCCTCAGCCTCCCAAGCAGCTGGAATTACAGGCGCCCACCACCACGCCGGCAAATTTTTTGTATTTTTAGTAGAGATGGGGTTTTACCATCTTGGCTAGGCTGGTCTTGAACTCCTGATACCATGATACAACTGCCTTGGCTTCCCAAAGTGCTGGGATTACAGGTGTAAGCCACCGCACCTGGCCAAATAATTTATGTATTTAATTAATACCTACATTTGTACAGAGCTGTGGTGTAAATACAATCGAAAGTGGGACAAGGATACAAAACTAGCATGAGGTCCAGTCCCTGAAGACAAACATAAATAATAAGCAATATCATTCATTGTTCCTTCCACAGGTGCTTCTAAGTACAAGGACTGCAATTCGATGGTATGTAACTCAGTACTAACCTTTGGTATGGGTGGCTATGTCACAGAGTTATTTAGATAATTTGCTCAAACTAGGCTGAAGACAAAGACTTTGTGGGTGAGGCAAAATCTAAGTTGGAAGTGAAGTAGAAGGAGGATAAATATTTAAGGCATTATCCTTTGGAACTCAGCTAAAATACCACTTTCTTAAAGGCCTTTCCTGATTTCCCTATCTAGAACACCAACTACCTTCTACTCCATCATAGTGCCCTGTTACCCTATTTATTTCCTGGAACTTTTTCTTTTTAAACAAAAAAATAAAAACAAAACCAAAACAAAAAACAAAAAAACACCTAACATAGCTATGAAGGTAAGCCTGGCTGGAGCTAGAATGCCCTGGTTCAAATTCCAGCTTTGCCACTTTCCAGTTCTATAATCTTTAATAAATTACTTAACCTCTCTGTGGTGTAAATATTATAAAAAGTGGAACAAGGGCCGGGTGTGGTGGCTTACACCTGTAATCCCAGCACTCTGGGAGGCCAAGGTGGGTGGATCACTTGAGGTTGGGAGTTCAAGACCAGCCTGGCCAACATGGTAAAATCCCGTCTCTACTAAAAATACAAAAATTAGCCAGGTGTGGTGGCAGACGCCTGTAATCCCAGCTACTCGGGAGGCTGAGGCAAGAGAATCACTTGAAGCCAGGAGGCAAGAGAATCACTTGAAGCCAGGAGGCAGAGGTTGCAGTGAGCCAGTGAGATGAGATCACACCACTGCACTACAGCCTAGATGATGGAGAAAGACTCTGTCTCAAAAAAAAAAAAAAAAAAAGAAAAAGAAAAAGAAAAAAGAAAAAGGTGGAACAAGGATACAAAACTAGTATGAGGTGCAGTCTCTGAAGACAAACATAAATAATTAACAAAATCATTCATTTGTTCCTTCCACAGGTGTTTCCTCAGTTCCTCAATAAAATGTGCTCATCAAGCAAGAAATTTTTTGTTGAAGAACTGGCTTAGGTTGTAACCATGGGACTGAAAAGGAAAGGGTACATATGAACTAAGTCAAAGGCAGAATCAATAGGTGATGACAAAGGAGAGGAACAGTAAAAGTAATTTCAAGGAGAGAAGAGGAAAACGAGAGAAAATTCTGGGGATAATGAAATAAGAAAGGCAACCTATTATATGTGGGCAAGGAAACAGTGAAAAAGCAAAAATGATTCCAAAGTTTGTTGCTTGAGGGACATGATATAAGCCAGTGGGCTAGCATTAGTTAACTATTCCGGTGGGAAAAGGAGGAGCTATGTCAAATTCATGTTTCAAATGAGTTGGCAGCAAGAACACAGTTGTAGATGATTTGTTTTTAGAGTGCTAGAGTGATGGGCCCTAACAAAAGAATGTTCAGGGCGGACAAGATTTGGGTGTCTGCTCATTGTGCATCAGGGCTGAAATCATGGGAAGAAACCCCATGAGGCTCAAACGCTGACCTGTATGGAGAAGGACAATTTTCTTTAACACTTACGATGATGTTCTTATCATTGGTAAAAGGTGCTTAATCGATTTTGGGGGATGGGGCTTTGCAGAAAAAAATAAAGCACTCATTCCACCCAAGGAACTGCATAGGAAAGGGGTATGTTTCTCAATTTTAACTTACCGTGTATCTTTGAAAGGTAAAATAATGTGTTCCAAGTTGCTTTTATGAGGGGAAGTTTGGGTCATCTCCTTCCTAGCAAGGACGTCTTGCTATTCAACTCACAATTGCACACCACTCCTCTTGTTGACACGGTTTCATAGCACTCTTCGTTCCAGGCTAAAGTTTCCTGTCATGATTTTTGGGCATCGTTTTTGAAACAGTTAGACCTTCTGACCTGGCAAGCTGCTGAGACCTTTTAGGATAGCTGAACTGCAGACAGAAATCTTCCAGGGAAGTAGGTGTGGGCAGGATGTGTGGTTTCCCTGCTTCTCATTTGAAGACTGATTCAATTAATTTCTCATGCACAGTCTCCTACAGTAAAGTTGCATTCAGAGTGTTCTAAGAGAAATTGGAAGGGACAAGCTAGCTACTCATCTTCTTCAGTTTGAGTTGAGGCTAGAGCACTATCTTTCTGAATGTCACAGAAATGCACAGCAGAGAAATTGTGCCACCAGCCCCCTCTGCTAATGGGACCTTGAGGGCTCAAATTAGCCATAACAGCAGAGCATGCACTTGTTTACCAAGTAATCTGAATGATCAGGAAGATGCAATAACACATGCCTCAGCTTGGCTCTGAATGAGTACACGGCAGCCTGAACCTATGAAAGATATAAGATTTCTAAACTTTTGGTGATATAACACGTACACATTCTTTCTCTGACATTCCAGGCTAACCACTGTCTTAAGTTAAGGCTCTGCAAAACATCTGGACATACGTTTCTGGAAAAAATTACAGCATCTTTTCTACAACTCTCTCTGGTCTGATCTTTGTAAGTTCTGACCTGATGGAAGCCTCTGCAGCAGGATGACCTGCGGGGGCCCGGGGAAGCTGCCCCACAGCACAGAGAGGCATTCACTAAATGCAGTTCACTTTTCCTTACCATTCATTTACCTAGTGCCACTTAGGAACAAAGTACAGAGCAGAGAAAGACTTAAACAGGAATGAAATGCAGATGCTGTTGTCCCTGAAAAAATCACTTTCTCTCTAGAAAAGTCAAGGCTTATTTCACCTCAGCCCCTGGTTGAACGATACTAATATGCTCTCTGACACTCCAGGTCTACAGGTCAGCGGAAGCAACCAGTGCCTGAGATTTGAGGATTAAAATCAAAGCAGAATGAACTATCATTTGGCTGCCCCAGGCCCACTAAATCCAGACGGCAAAGTGTTCTCACCATTCTGAGACATCTTCAGCCACACATTTCTCCAGCCAAAAACCTAGGAAGATGTCCGGCTGACAGATGCGCCTGTTACATGATTCAGAGAAGGAGGTTTTTTGTTTTTTTTGGTTTTTTTGTTTTTTTTAAAAAAAGAAGAAAAAAGGCTAGATCAGCCTCAGGATTTTAATTTTACATGATTGTGGATAATCATGTCTCTTTTCACTAAAATTCAATCACTTCATTAATCACTATTTCTTTATTAGATTTATATCATACTTATAAAGCAAAAGATTTAAGAGGAAAAAAACCTATATATAAACTGAAATACTACAGGAGAGGATCTTCTCTTTTCTGTTTCTTCTTCTTTTTGTTTTGTTTTTTTGGTTGCTTTGTTAAAGAAGCAGAGCTTAGAGGGAAGGAAATGGAATTCCTGTTTTTGAGAAGCTCCCTGGGCCAGGCACTGCACTAACTTGTACTTCTATTGTAGTAGACATGGCACCATTAGAAACACAATCTCAAGCAGGAACAGCGACAGAATTTAGAGGGTCTAAAATATAAGTTCCTTGTTTAAAAAATTATTCAGAAGTTCAAGACAGTGACAGCAGAACATGAAACCAAGTGTGGGGCCCTGTTAAGTGCAGAACTCTATGTGACTGCACAGGCTACACATACGTGAAACTGGCCCCACTATGAAGTCAGGCTTACCTGAACTTGAATTGTGGCTTTGCTACTTAATAGTCACGTGATCTTGGACAAGTCATCTGTAAAATGGGAATAATAACAATCCCTACATCATTGAGTTTTGTTTGTTTGTTTGTTTTGTTTTGTTTTGAGACAACGTTTCGCTCTGGTCACCCAGGCTGGAGTGCAATGGTGCAATCTCGGCTCACTGCAGCCTCCGCCTCCCAGGTTCAAGCGATTCTCCTGCCTCAGCCTCCCAAGTAGCTGAAATTACAGGCATGTGCCAACACACCTGACTAATTTTTGCATTTTTAGTAGAGACAAGGTTTCACCATGTTGGTCAGGTTGGTGTCAAACTCCTGGCCTCCAGTGATCTGGCTGCCTCGGCCTCCCAGGGTGCTGGGATTACAGGTGTGAGCCATTGTGCCCGGCCTAAACAAGAGATTTTAAAAGATACTCTGTATTAAGGCCAACTACTCAAAAAGCAAGACTGAAGTACAAAAAATAATACTGGTTTATGCTCAAGGTTCTGGAGGCTTGTGGAGTGCAAATTGTCATGAAGCCAATTTAATATAACTGCTTCCTTTATGCTGAAAGGATTCACTGGGGACATCACTGTTTCCACACAGGAAATAAAGCCTTTTGTATCTGAACAAAAACTCAGAAATACCTTTTTTTTTCTCTTCTTTTACAATGCAGAATACTTTACAAAAAAAAAAAAGCTGTAGGACAGGAAATGTTACTAATCATACAAACTCTATATTTAGTTCTGTAAAAAAAATACTACTAAAACAGCCAGAAGAAAATTTGCAGGTAGTGATACATATTTTTATCTAGAAAAGAGATTTGGTTTACAGAGGCATAAATATTTAGTAGTTACTGTTTATCAGTGTTTGTTTCATAAGAGAAGTCTCAGTTTCTTCCCTGAGTCATCTGTACATTTTTTATTCCTTACCATCAATAATTCTCAGGACTGTCAGACGCCTTTACAATAAAATGTAGGGTTTTTTCCCCCCAATTTGAGTACATACTATTGTTAACTGCAAAATTCTAAAGAAGTCAGTTGCCATTTGTCAAACAATTCGCCCGAGGTACACAGATTTGGGATACTTTTCTTTCAGAGCTGGCCACTGAACAATGAAGTAATCTGAGAGATGAAACAGAATCTTTCCGGACAGGGATAAGGTTTCTACACGGCAGATGCTTTCAACGTAGACAATGATCACTTTCTTTATTCCTAGTATCCCAAGGAGAAGGGCAGATACACAGATAGGAACACATGTTCCTGGTCCGTTACACAACACCTGAAAGAAAAAGTTGAAGTTCAAATGAAAACACAGAATAATCATCTAAGGGAGGCATTTTGCATTAACAGTCTGATCTCAGAGGGGATTTGCTTATTATTCTAATAAGTCCTTCTCTGTCAAGAACCAGGATGCAGCAAACAGTGCCTGTTCAAGCCCATGCACTTGGAAGCCAGGCAGAGCTGTGTTGTCTTGGTTCTCTTGCTTACCAACTGTGTGACTCAGGGCAAATCACTTAACTTCTAACTTCTAGCATGGTGCCTGGTGCTCAGTCAGCCCTCATCAGATAGGCATGTGTTGCTCTTCTCTGACTGCTCTGTGGACCTTGAATGTCACCAAAAATATAGAAAACAAAATCAACTGAGATTCACTGTTTTCTTTTATGTACCAACTTATTCTTGATTTGGGAGAAAATGTCTTTAATTGACTATAAATTTTTTTTTTTTTTTTGAGACAGAGTCTCGCTCTGTGGTCCAGGCTGGAGTGCAGTGGCGTGATTTCGGCCTGGGTTCAAGCGATTCTTCTGCCTCTGCCTCCTGAGTAGCTGGGACTCCAGGCGCCCACCACCAGGCCCGGTGAATTTTTTTTTTTT